CCTGTGAGGTGGATGGATTATCTCGGCAAAGGAGAAGTGCTCACTAACACAGATTTAGACAGATTTGTGAACAATATTTGAGAGAAATAGGCCTTTTGTGTACATAGAAAAAGTCTTAGATCTTTGAGTTCAGCTCATGAAAAATGGGGGCAAAAACGAAAGTGTTTTTTGTTCAGTGTAAATAAACTGACCTTGACCTTTTGCCACGTCACCAAGGGAGCGAAATCTGATGCGCTCATTTTCTCAGACGCTTGCAGAAAAAGGCTTACCAAAACAAAGTTACTGGGTTAATCTTTTTCGTGTTTCCTTGGTTGGTAGATGCACCGGCGACCTGATTATAGCACTTAAAACCTGGAAAAGTCAGATTTTCATGATATGTCACCTTTAAACTCTTGACACCATTTGAGATAAAGGGATCAAACCAACTGTAAAATATTCAGAATATTATTCCCTATAATGCACAAGGCTTGTTTTTTTCAGAATATGCCTATTATTTTTATATACGGTACTGAAACCATATTGTTTGTTTAATATACTGTACCTACTGGTGCCAGAGTTTAATGAATTTAAGTAGGTAAAGTATATTAAACATCAAAAATATAGATTCAGTATCGTATATAAAAACAGGAAAGGCATAATCAGAAAAAACCAAGCCTTGTGCATTATAGGGAATAATATTTAGAGATTTTTACAGGTGGTTTGACACCTTTAGATCAAATGGTGTTTAATGGATTTATATTATTGCATACATTAAAAGTTGTAAAATTATTATAAAACACATAGAATGCTAATTCCAAAAACGGAGCCTTGTGCAATAACAGGGATGTTTTTCTGAACATTTTAGTATAATAATAATGGTAACACTTTACAATAAGGTTCATTAGTTAACTACATTAGTTAACATGAACTAATAATGAACTGCACGTATACAGCGTTTATTAATCTTTGTTAATGTTAATTTCAACATTTACTAATACATTATTAAAATCTTGTTAACATTAGTTAATGCACTGTGAACTAACATTAAAAACTCTATTTTTTTTTTCTAAATTTAGCGTAGATTAGTAAATACAGTAACAAATGTATTGCTCATGGTTAGTTCATGTTAGTTAATATATTAACTAATGTTTAACTAATGAACCTTATTGTAAAGTGTTACCATAATAATAATAATAATTCCTTACATTTATATAGCGCTTTTCTGGGCGCTATTGGTTTTATAGTGTCATGTAGTTAAATTGTTTAATTTATATATATATTTTTTTTTCTAGAAATTAAACCTTGTGCAATGTAAAGGGCATATATTTATGTCTATCTGAGTTAGTTTGGGCTCAAAACATAACAGGCGCAAAGATTTTAATTGGTATGAAACCGAATGTCTAATGAATGTCAAACGTCAAACTAACTTTACCGCCGTAATGACAAGTTGTTTCTCGGTTTAGACCGCGCATGTTGAATTATGATTATTTTATGTCACTATCATTTTGTTTTACACAGATCACACCCAAAACATGCTAGTATATATAACGTTAGTATCATCCAGTTTAATGTCGGTATAACTCACACAAATGTTTTTTTTATTATTATTTATTTATTTATTAGTGATAGCAGTAGTTATTGTTCTAGACCACAGTGTTTAGATGGTATATGATATTATTGGCAGTAATATAGCTGTTTTAGTTCATAATTGGGTGTCTTGTTTTTTCTTTCTTTATAATATTACTAATTCTGAGAAATCAGGCCAAATCTGCTGGGTTTATTGCATAAAATGGAATGTATGATTGCTTTCCTGTTTTTTTTCTTTTTAGGTTCTCGGCACCGTTGTTGGCTCTACCATGGTGCAGAAGTATCAGTCCCCAGTGAGGGTGTACAAACATCCTTTTGAACTGGTCATGGCAGTAAGTTTGAACCACAGTCTTAACACTCAATAGCATATTCTGTTTTGGCAGTCTATACACATTAGGGGTTGCATCAACTAGTCGATTTCAATGCTCTGCCATGACGCTGTAAGCTTTACGTCGACTAGTCGCTGGTCCTATAGAGAGCGCAACAGGATAAGAAATCTTTGAAGGACTTCCACATTTACGCTCCGTTTCCAAACAGTTCAAATGACAAATAAATGCATACTCTGAAAGCGCTCCACAAGACATGTGATTATATTACTGGATGCTCTAAATTGAACGGGAGAATGCACATTTTAAACAGCTTATTGTACAGGTAAGTTAATCACCGTTCTAATCGAATGCGCTGCTGCACTGTAACGCACACACATAGGCTACAGACAGTAGCGCATACATCACACACAGAATCATTCAGCGCGGAAATTTATTGTCAACACTGTTCTGTGATTTCTCAAAAAAATAGCTTTAGAAACTGATAAGTTCAAGCATATATTTCTTAATAACTAAATTCCACAGCTTCACTACTAGTAGAGAGACGCTGCCAAGTAGAATTAATTCACACACGCAATCGCTCTCACTAATGCATTCATATTAATGTAATCTTTACTGCGCTGCTTTCTGTATCTGATTTAGAATGAGCAGAAATCTGTGAGAAATATAACGACCCAAAGACAAAAGAACTGATAAAAAAAGCTGTTATAGGAGCAACAGCCATGTGGGCAGTGCTGTGTCATATGCCATAGCTGTGCACAAGGTGTTTGTCACAGCTCCAGACTTATTTGTTCATTAATGACATCATCAGCGACTAGTCGACTTCGACTCGACTTTCATCACATAAAAGTCGACTTCAAAAAATCAGAAGTCGTTCAACCCCTAATACACATGAATGTGGAAGGAGTTTGTATTCTGTTTTACAAAGTTTACTATACAGGGGGTTGCAGTAGTCCATTTGCAGGTTTAAAGATTAATAACATTCATATGCACATTTTTCAATGTATGTAATATGTAACAGTACAGTACAGTTTGTCACCCTGTAGGCATGTTGAGACCTGTGGGTAGTTCTCATTTGCAGTATGCAACAGCTGGGCCTCATGGGCCAGTTTCCATTACACTCTGCCTTTCAATAGCCTTTCATATGGTTTGCTAATTCCCCACTTTCATAGTTTTCCACTTTTAGTAACTAGTTACTAGGGATGTGCTGATACGAGTATCGGTACCGAACGGTTCACGGGGCAAATTCCAAATGGAAGTGATGATCCCTATCCCCTTGGAGTGGGGATTTTGGAGTGAGCAGTGTATTTATGCCATTGATTTATGCTGATGGACACATTGCTGCGTTGTCACGGGAACATGCCAGCTGGAGATAATGAGGAAATTATGTCGCTGGCTTTGCCAAGTGCATTCCAAACGACTACATAATGGCACGCACGTGCCCCGCTCACTCCAAAGTCCCCACTCCAAGGGGATAGGGGTGATCACTTCCATTTGGAATTTGCCCCGTGAACTGTTCGGTACCGATACTCGTATCGGCACATCCCTACTAGTTACCAGTATTGTTATCTCTAGATTAGTAGCAAATAGGGATGTAACAGTACATGTATTCGTACCAACAATTTTTGGTACGGTCTTTCGGTTCGGTGCACATGTGTACTGAACAAATCATTCAATTTTTCAGGAGATTCAGACAATACATGCCGATTTGGTGCTCTATGACATGGCTAGACAGATCGTTGTAAAGATGCTTTAGTTATGATGGCAGTGCGGAGCGCGAGTAAATCTTTTATGAAACAAGTTATGACAGCCACTGTGTAAATGATTATATTTCAAAAACATTTTATTGTAAAAGTTTACATTTATTATTTTATTTATTGTAATTTTATCATTTAAAAACGTTTGCATACAATTTTTTGATTTGAGTGTTGATTATTATAGTTAAAAATAAATAGTAATTAAATTTAAGTTTGGGCTCTGTTGTTAATTGTAACCTTATAGTAATGTAAAAGGGCTCCCTATAGTTTAGAGCAGAAGCTGATATTTTTTTCCTTAAGAAAATTTTAATTATAATTGAATTTATTTTAAAAAGTGCAATTTGTTGAGTAAACCATTGTTTAATAAAATAAAAAAGCAATTTATATTTAGTTTTTTTATTCCTGCTGTACCGAAACCATACTGAACCGTGATGTCAAAACAGAGGTACGTACCAAACCTTCACGTTTGTGTACCGTAACACCTAGGGATGTTCCGATCAGGGATTTTTGCAGCCGATACTGAGTACCGACTGATTTCTTGTCATGGTGATCGGCCGACACCGATGCCGATTCTGATGCTTCAAGCTTTATTTAGACAGTTTCATTGGGCGCACACGCCTGGCCCAAAGTTAGCTTCCGATCTGTGTTTGTTTATCAGTCTGGCTATGGTGCCGGCTACAAACGCAGTTAAGTTAAGGTGATGAGTAGACTGAAGTTGGGCTCAGGTGGTTGTGCTGTGGGATGTGTTTCCCATACATTTATTTATTTACATATTTTGCTCATCGAAAATAATCTACTCTAGAGGACTGTTATTGATTCTATTTGGAAGTCTACCGGAAGTTATGTTAGGGCCATAAAAGCGCGCATGCGCACTGCAGTAACGTTTGTTTATGTTGTTGCCGTTGAAACAGTCTAATAATGTTATATAAATAATCACAAAGATTATTCCTTATACAGTGAACATTTTAATATGCCTTTAAAATGGGGTTTATGCATAACATTATGTATATTGTTGTGGAACAAACAATGGTCTTTTTCAAAGTTGTCAAAAAAGCTCAAGAAGTAGAGTTCCAGATGTCAAAATAAGACTTTATTGAGCACAGCAACAAAGTCGAGATGACAGCTGCTACATCTGAGTCTTTGTCCGTTCAGGCACCCATATTTATACCCCTTTCCCTTACCAAAGTTGGTAGTTCCGTTTTTTTTTATCGGTTATGCCTGTCTGGTTTGCCACAATTTATTACTAGCACACCTGGTCCATCTTTTAATGGTGGAATTTGGCCAAATCAACCATTTTTTTTAAAACTTTCAGTTTGCCGCTTCCCATTGGTTGGCAGTGGTCCCATGAGACAAACCATTTTTTAAAAACTTTCATTTTGCCGCTTCCCATTGGTTGGCGGTGGTCCCATGAGACATACATCAAATCTGTTTACTCCTTACTGTCAACTTCTGGAAATCACCCAAAGTTCATTGGGTTACTCAAGTTCACTGGTACAATCCCATGTAAACCACTGACACTGCCCAATTGGAAGGGCCCTCATACATACAATCTTCATTAAGACATCCAGTATTGGGAACAACTCAACATATTGATTAGTATATTGATTACTTTCATGATTATACATAATATTTTGAGTAAGATAATACCATATTGAGTAAATAACATAATATGTAATAGAATTACACAATAATATCAGGATACTTAATATAAGACAAAAATAAATACAAACAAAATGGAGCAGTCTGATGTAACCCACGAGGTTTATTTAAACATTATTCAATAGTAAACTGAAGGACAAAATAAACATTAATAATAAAAAAAACTTTTAAACTCCTAAAATAACTAATTTTAGTAGTTTGATGCAGCTCATTGGGGTTAATTTAACATTGTCCAATGTTACACAGCAAATTTGAAAGTGGTAAATTAACACTCACAGTGAGAAAATTAACACTTTTTCGGGGTTTATATAGGTCCACACTAAATAGTTAAACTAACACTTTAAATAGTGTTACTTTTTTTTCACTTGCATAGAGTAAAAACAACACTGTAAGTGTTCACCGTTAACACCGTTAGTGTTTTCCCTCCCCCTCATTTACACCAAGTTAGTGTTGAAACTACACTACGTGTGTCAATATCTTAACACCAAGAGACTTATTTCCACACTAATATAGTGTTCATACAAACCCTGATTATGGTAATTAAGTGTAATCTGTATTCGACTAAAAATACCTGTGCATTGTGTAAAAAAAAAAAAAAGTCAACACGCTGTATCAGTTTGAAATTTTATTTTTAACACAGATGTAACTATTACACCAACACAAAAGGGGGAACAATATATTCACCATCATCTGACCCATATAAACACTGCAGATCAAAAGGCCTGTAGAACAAGCTGTTGGCTTTTGATACCAGGGCTTCATCGTAGGACAGGTTGAAGACATATAATGACAATGTGAAATGATAAATGCATAATAAGAAAAAAAAACTATATAACACCTCTTAACCCAATACGTGCCAAACAAAACCAGTTGATCTCATGCTTTGTGTATTACAGTGAAAGGAAAACGTCATTAAATTAATTCTCAACCCCCCCCCCCCCCCCCCCCCCACACACACACAGAAAAAATTTATAAATACAATTTGCTGATACACCCTCAGCCAAATCAAGCTATGTGACTGACTGACTTCATTAGAACACAAACAAAGAGTTGTACTTGGACATCCGAGATCTGTAGGTCAACATAATGCAAGTGAACACGTGCAATCAGTTAGAGTCCAAAAGGAACATTTAGACACATTATGCCAGTTATTTTCAATCCCTGTCCTGTGGACCCACTGCTCTGCATGTTGTATGTCTCCCTTATTCAACAAACCTGATTCAGATCTTCACCTCATTAGGTAAGAGCTCCATGAAATAAACTAAAGGGTTAGTTCACCCAAAAATGAAAAATTTGTAATTTACAGAAAAGGTTGTTACCCACAGGTTGTTCCAAGCCTGTATACATTTCTTTGTACTGCTGAACACAAATAAATTTTGAAGAAAGTTTGTAAACAGGCCACTTTGTACAGACATTAACTATCATAGTATTTTTTTATTTTGTTCCTACTATGGAAGTCAATGGCTGCCCAAAGCAGCCAATTTACAAACTTTCTTCAAAATATCTTCCTTTGTGTTCAGCAGTACAAAGAAATGTATAGAGGTTTGGAACAGTAAATGATGAAAAGAGTAAATGACAATTTTCATTTTT